ACGGGGCTCGCTGTGCACACCCATAAAACCAACTGTATAAACGCTCGCTACGGCTGCGATTGTGTGGACACGTGTGAATGAGGAAAGGTGGAAATGGGGGTATAATAATGTCACTGTAGGTTCCACTCTACGGACACACTCCAGAGTGCTCAGGTGACGAGTGGGGAAATCCACACACAGTTCCTGGCCCCAGCTAGGCAAGGCTTAGCAAGTCAGGACACCGCGCCTCAGGGACGCCATGTGAACAATGATGGTTGGACTAGATCCAAGGTCTTTGTTGTTGCTGTCGAATTTTAAATTCAGTTTTTCGAAGTTAAGATGGCAAGGGGAGTCGGTTTAGCATGCAGGTTCCCAGACTTCACTCCCTCCTCCCACATCAGCAAGGTAAGCAGCTCGGGGCAGGATGGCGCCCACAGCCTCGGGAGCCGCCTGCACTGGTCCGACCCAGTGCAAAGTCCTTGGGTTGTCAGGTCACAGCAAAAATAAACAGTCCAGGAGATGATTTTATCTCCTGAGTCAGAGAGCCTGAGCTGGAATGCAAACAAGTCTTCAAAGCATTAGAGGTGAATACCAGTTGCTCCGTAAACACTGTTAGCTCATTCGTTTGTTTCTAAACAAATGAGAGTCTCTCAAAACACCATTTCATTGTTTCCTTTACAGTGTTTGGAGAGACTCTCGTGTTTCATAACCTTCTTTTCTTAGGAAAAAGACTGCTGCAGGTAAAGGCAGAGGGAGGGTGGTCAGCAGATCGTATGCAGGTGAGACACGGATTTTATACTTTTCTCAATCAATGCTGCTTAACCAAAAAGTTACATACAGCGGCCCCTGGAAGAGGGAACCAAAGAGTTCCACAGCCACCTGACGGCCAGTGCAGCGACTTTCACGGCTGGTGTCTGCCGCCTGGTATGTGACTGCAGAAGTCTGGCGCACACACTGTCATTTCCACCAGGGACTAGGGAAGCGTAACCTACAGGCCACAGGATGGAGGTGAAAATCACGGGGAAGAAGGAAACCTCATCTTCAAAGTTAGCTGTATCAAGCTAAGCACTTGGGACAGTACCCTGAGCCATGAAAAAACCATGAATTTTGAATATGTTAGACACATACTTTATAAATAATCTACTGACAGATGCTAAAACTAAGGTTTTGATAGTTTTTTTTTTTTTTTTTTTTTTTTTTTGTATTTCACCAGATGAGTTTTACTCTTAAACAAGAAGTCTTCTTGTCCCCTCTGTAGCTACTCTGAGATACTGGGCAAGAGACGGACTCAGACAAACTAGGTCTGAATCTGAGCCCCTCACCTTGTTAGGCCTGTGACTTCTTCCTAACTTCACTGAGCCTCGCCATCCTCATCTGCAGAATGGGGAGAGCAAGAGTATTAAATTCAGACCACTCTGAGGATTACCCAGCACACTGCAAATACCGTATATTGACTATGCCTTCTCCCAAATGTCCCATGGTTGTGGGTATATTTGTTTTCTGGGTCATTTAATTTTCCGTGTTTCTCAAACTCAGGAGTTAAAAATCCACCTGACTGGGAGAAGCGCTAAAACCTCTCTGGAAAGCTCATTCTACCACCTGGCAAAGGTAGATGCCCAAAGCTTTCTCGCTTCTTCTTAGGAAGCCAAGTGAGGGCCACCTTCAAAAGGTAAAGCCACGTGTCTCCACTCGGGGGATGGTGTGCTGGAAGCAGCCGTGTCTGCTCTGATCTGATGTGCACGGCTGTGTGTAGCTGGGCCTCTTCTCCAGGATTCCTCACCGAGGGGAGCGCGTCAGAACCTGGCACCCCTTACCCCCACGCCCACCCACAACCGAGAACCTCTGCCGTCATCGACGGAGGTGCCTTGTCTTCTCACACGCCTCAAAACTGATTCAGCACACTGGTGAGTCACAGGGTCTCCCGGGTTACACAGGTGTGAAGAAACACACCAAACCCAAAAAGGGCACCAGGCACACAGCAGGACTCAGAACCTGTGCCTTCTGGCGACCCCTCTGCCAGCGTGGCAAGGCTCACAGACCCTTGTTCAGAAGAAAATTTTGAATACGTAACATAAAAACCAAGGACGGCGAAGGAAAACGATCGCACCTAAAACTTGAAAAACTCCAGGATGTGAATGACAGCAAAAGAGTCTGTGACATCTGCTGAGTGCTTCTTTATTAAGAATAAAAGAAATAAAAGATCTAAGTAAATAAAACAAGACTCATTCCATGACTCCAAATTCCACAGCACTGAGCCTTCCACACTCCCATTTCACCTATTAAAAAAACAGCCCTACCCAACGGTAACATGAAATGAAAGATCGATCAGCACATTTAGCAACAAAGGTAATGTCATGGCAGTGAGGAGCAAAGGCAGGAACTCCAAGTCTGTTTCCACTGGAGCATGACGTGAAAATATCCATGATATCTCCTGGTGACAATATCACAGGTCCTGCAAATACCACTGTGCCTGTGCGTGTCTACGTTCATAATTAAGGGAACTGCATTTCAGTTAGAAGCTAATAAAAACTAAAAGTGTAATTTTTTCCCCTTTACTAGTTCATGGGACCCCTAAATTCTCTCTACAGATCCTTTAGGTGTCACAGGACCTCAGTGTGGCTCTGCTCTGCAGGGTCCTGTATTTAGGAGTTAACACCTGATCGTTCAATTAACAGACATTTAGGAAAGAGCCATGTTGCTCTAACAGCAGGAACCACGGAAGATACAGAATGAAGGGACGGCTTGATGCAAGCATGCTCTAAGAACTCTCAGAATCTCCCCTCAATGTTCATTTTGTTTTTTTCCAGTTTTATTATAAGTTCTGTTATCTACTGCCAAACTCACCAGGATTTCTTCTTTTTTTCTTAACTGTATAAACTAAAAACAAAGCAAGCAAACAAACAAAAAAGACACTCTGTTCAGGTCTGCTGTTAAACAGATTTCAGAAACTATGGCTCAGCGTCATGGAGTAAACACTGAGCGTTTCCCACATCTATTTTACCCGTCATGAAACCATCCCTACCCAACTGCAGGTATTTTACGGAATGAAATGAGACACTTTGTGTAGAAGTTCTCTGAAAATTGTGTGGCATTGCCCACGGATGGTCTTCCACTTACAATGGAAATGCCGGTGATTAATCAAAGTGTGAATGGTGCTGAGAGCAGTGGCTCATGCTTGTAATCCTAGCACTTTGGGAGGCTGAAGCAGGAGGACTGTTTGAGGCCTAGAGTTTGAGATCAGCCTGGGCAACATAGGGAGACCTCAAAAAAAAAAAAAATTAACAATTAGCTGGGCATGGTGGTGCATATACGAAGTCCTAGCTACTCTGAGCCCAGGAAGTCAAAGCTGCGGTAGGCTGTATGCGCACCACTGCACCCCAGCCTGGGCAACAGAGCAAAACCCTGTCTCAAAAAAAAGTGTGTGAGTGGGAACCAGGAGCCTCCTGTGGCAGAAACAGCCATGACGGGTACTGCAGACTCACAAGAGGGTTTCCTAAGGGAAGGTAAGCAACACAGAGAGATCTCCCAAAAAATAGTTCTGTTACAAATGCTGCTGTTCTCCTGTGAGTTCTTTTGCAGACTTCAACAATCTGAAAAAAGGTAATACAAAACCTACCAAGGAGGTTTGCTTCAGCTATGAGTACAAGTCTAACATGCTTCATATCTCCCTGTGTGGATTATTCTATTTTTATCCCTATCGAAGCTGATTACCTTCTGCAGTGTTCAGAATAACTCTGTACGGTTTATGAGTCCATGTAAGCAAATACTTTTTTCTTATTAATATCTAATAAAGAGAACCTTAAAACATCCCTAGACGTACCCTGAAGGAGAAACGTGTAGTACCAACTTGTTTATTATAAATGATCTCACTAATTCAATAAAATTGGAGAGATCAGCCTGCATTAGAAAAAATAATTACAAGAAATCTTTAGAGATGCGACGTAAGCTGGTTGTGAACAAGTTGTCTCCAGGTAGGAGGACTGCTATACTTTTTTTAAGCGACACAGTGATACACAGATATGTAAATTATTGGCTGCCATCAATTTTTAAAGAGTGAAATTACTTCTAAAAAATAAATATCAGAAACACAAAGTATTAATTTTTTAAATTATCCTTTTTTTCCGAGTCTGCAGTATCAAGTTTCACACCCTAGCCATCATGACCGCACTGAAAACGGTCGCCGAGCGCACTGCTCACCCGACCAGGTGTCAGCTCTGCGGCCCATCAGCACGACGGGTTTGCTGCCACTGCGATACCTGGACTCGCTGAATAACCACTCAGTGAGCTTTCACACAGGAGGTATCAGCCTTGGTATGCACGTCTTGCTATGCCACATACATGAGCAGCCTGGATGTTCCCAATATCTTTGGTTTTAAATTTAGACAAACTCCTTCCCAGTGAGTTTCTAAGGACTTGTGGTACTTTTGGTAAGAAACAGAAATAGGAACATTTTCAAATTCTTCTGTACAGTCAAAAAAAAAAAAAAAAAAAAAAAAAAGTTGGCTCTGCCTGTAATCTCAGCAGTTTGGGAGGACAACGTGGGTGGATCACTTAAGGTCAGGAGTTTAAGTCCAGCCTGGCCAACATGGTGAAACCCTGTCTTTACTAAAAATGCAAAAATTAGCCAGGCAAGGTGGTCCGTGCCTGTACGCCCAGCTACTCGGGAGGCTGAGGCAGGAGAATCGCTTGAACCCAGGAGGCAAAGGTTGCAGTGAGCTGAGATTGCACCATTGCACTCCAGCTTGGGTGAGAGAGCGAGACTCCATCTCAAAAAATAAGTAAATAAAAAGTTGGATGAGATGAAAATCTTACTGGGTCCCCACTCCTCTAAAATGTCTATGCAGAACATTCAAAACTGGGAGCTTTGACGTGGGTCGCCCCTACAGCTGCATTTCTTTGACCACCTTTCCAGAGGTGGCCAGCCACAGCACAGGGGAGCCGGAACAAGAACTTAATTCGGGCCGTGGCTAAGGAGGACTGGTCCTGACGCTGCCGCCACGGCACACGTGGACAGTACTTACGGAAGTATTTTAGCGTCTCTTCAATTTGCTCGGTGGTGAGGTCGACGCTGGCGTCAGGAGAGATGAGAGGTGTGTGGAGCCAGTCGCCGTGGTCATACCCGTAGATGGTGTCGGCTCTTAACTTGTAATGGGGCAGCTGCTCCTCCAGGAGGCTGATGATCTCGACTTCCGGAAGGTCGGTGCTGTTGCACACATCTGAAGACAAGACCACGAGAGGTGAGCGTGGGCGGGGCCGCGGCCCTGCTCCTGCCGGCACCCTCGGTGACCATCTACGGCACGAAGACGCCAGGCAAGGCTAGCTCAGGAGTCTTTCTTTCCCAATTTAAACTCCATTCTCGAAACTTTGAATTTTGCAGGCTTACCGCCAAGACCTAGGCAAAATGTCTCCGGCTGTTTAGTGTTCACCACTTAGGAAGAAAAGCCAACATTTTTGAGCTTTTATCATCTGAGTCTTTCCTCCAACCCTTTCTCTGGCCATTACCCTTCAAGCTTTCTTACACTTCAGCCAAACCAGTATTAATTTTACCAATACGCCTAACTTCTTCCTGACACTCTTACCATTCGAGCTAACCCCTCATCTAGAATTTTGCCTTCATTTAATTTATTCATTCATCTGTTCATTCATCCAAACTTCCTTCCTTCCACCTATCCAACCATATGTATCCTGAGTACCAGAGGCAGAGAAGACACAGCGGTGAACACAGGAGTCATGGGCCTGCCCTCCCAACGCTTATATCCTTAGGGGGCATCCAGCAATTATGCCAACAGGTGCCCATTCTTTAAGGAATAGCTTGAATAAGTGACCTGCCCTTCCAACACTTATGTCCTTAGGGGGCATCCAGCAATTATACCAACAGGTGCCCATTCTTTAAGGAATACCACCTGACATGCTGGTGTTTTGAGTACACCAAGCAGAATTAATCTGCCTTACCCTTTCTATACTGACATGCCATTTTGTCAGAACTTCAGTTACTACACTTGTTTTTTATTTTTATTTTTATTTTATTTGAGACGGAGTCTTGCTCTGTCACCAGGCAGGAGTGCAGTGGTACGATCTCAGCTCACTGCAACCTCCGTGTCCTGGGTTCAAGCAATTCTCCTGCCTCAGCCTCGCGAGCAGCTGGGATTACAGGCGCACACCACCATACCCAGCTGAGTTTTGTATTTTTAATAGAGATGGGGTTTCACCATATTGGCCAGGTCTTGAACTCCTGACCTCGTGATCCACCCACGTCGGCTCCCCAGAGTGCTGGGATTACAGGCGTGCATCACCACACCCAGCCGTTGCTACACTTATTAAGTGTCTTGAGGATATTTCAGTATCTGACTTATCCTGCTGGGGAAGGGCAAACTTCCATACACAGCCATCCTTGATCCACCAGCTGTAGCCCGCAGCTCTTGGCCAGGCTGTGCTCAGGGGTGCCTAAGAATGCCCGTGATGAAGAGCCAGCTCACGCAAAGCACACGACTGAGGCCTTTACACTGCAGACATGATGGCACAGCAAACGTAGCCAGGACGTGGACCCTACTTCTCTACCCCGGGGCTATTCATCACAGGAGAACGCAGAAACTGAAGGAAGCGCTAACGGGTGAGTGGTAACTCTCTATCAAGTAAGTCGGACGTCATCCTCTCTATCAGCCCACTTTGCAGGAGGCATTTGAGACCTGTGACGGAGATGGCCCATGGGAGCGGCCGTGGCTTCGTCAATCCATAAATAAACCCAGTGCCTGTGGTGCACACAGCTAGACAAGAGAGGAGAGTTAACTTGGGGTCTTGTTCTAGGAAGGAGTCTTCAACAAAGAAAAATTAACAAAAGGTAAGAATATTGTTGAGGTCGATTCTGTTAAGACAGAGTCTCACTCTGTTGCCCAGGCTGGAACGCAGTGGCACGATCTTGGCTCACTGCAGCCCTGACCTCCTGGCCTCAAGCGTTCCTCCCACTTGGGCCTCCTGAGTAGCCAGGACCACTGATATGCACCACCACACCCAGGTACTTTTACTTTTTGTAGAGACGAGCTCTCACTATGCTGTGAGGTCTAATTCTACTTTTGGTAGCGACAAGGTCTCACTATGTTGCCAGGTGGGTCTTGAACTCTTGGGCTAAAACAACCTTCCTGCCTTGGCCCCCAGAGTGCTGGGATTACAAGCCTGAGAAATCTTGCTAGGCCAGAGGTCGATTCTCATCAAAGTCACCGTGCCATGTTCTTGCTTTGAAGCAGAAAACAAAAACGGAACCTGGATCAAGCTTCCGTCTCCATCCTTCTCCGAGGTGTTAGAGAGGGCAGAGGAGAAAAAAAAAACACTTGTGACGAATAAAACCGCGCAACCGAATGGGAAAACAAGGAGGAGGTGCTGAGGATGAACCAAAGTATGAGGTTTTCCTAAACACGGTGAGATCTCACTAAAGGAGAAGGGGCCAGTCTTACACGAGCACTCACTGGCTCATCTACACACACGCGGGAAGTGACTAGTGCGGTCAGTGGGAGTAGATCCTGCCATGCTCCATGCGGGAGGCAGCTGTCAGAGGGAGCAGGAAGGGCCTGGGGGGAGGGGATTCACCGCAGAACCAAAGCCAGAACAGCAGGGAGGAGCAGTCCCTTCCCCGTTCTCTCTGCTCCAGCCAAGGCCGGAAAGGCGGGAAGGCAGTGACTGCGGGGGCTGCACACACTCCGGTGAACACAGGACATGCGCCTGGAAGAAGAGCAAAGACCTCGTGTCCGATAAGGCCATTCAGCAGATGAAAAAATACAGATTCATGGGGAAAAAAGAGCGTAGTTACAACTCTGCAGCCTTTGGGCAGGCACCCACTGAAAACACCTGTCAGCACCCACTCTCCGGCAGCTCCCCACCATCCAGTTCCCACAGCTCTCCCTCAACTGGATGTGCAAAGCTTGGCCATAGACCACGTCCACCCAGGGTGTCAGCACGGCTTTCCAAAATGCAAGGAAAGGGTTAGAAGTGAGACAGTGAGGACATGCGGGATTTTATGTGGAGCTTTAGGGAAGCAGTTCAGTCCTGGGGGTCGGGGGGCTACATCTCTCTACTGGGACTCCTCTGCCTCCAGGGGGAGATGTCACAGCAAGCACACATGGCATTCCAGCCAGAAATAAGAGTAGACCTGCTCCCCCACTTCGCAAAGCTATGTCCTCCACAAGGTGGGGCAGCAGCCCAAGCTCCGGACAGACGATTTCTCATATTTCCTCCCGACTCCCACTGGCAATAAGCACCATCCAAAGGCTCGAGATGGGCCGGTAATAAGCAAATAGTTCCTCTTCTCACTATCAAGTGAAGAGTAAGTGTTGAGAAACACCGAGTGTATGATAAAACATGCTATTAGCTAAGAACAGCAGCAAGGAAAACCTAGCTGCCCCCCGCCCAACACACACATAAGTGGAAAACTGCTTGGGGCATTCTAAAGTAGCAAAACAGTGTATGTACATCATACACCGGTTAGAACAATTCTTTCAGCATGGGCCGTGTGACCTGCCCTGGGGCTCCCTCGTGGAGAATACTTTTTCGGAATGCTGTCAGCCTGAGCTCTCGGCTCGGAGGGCTGTGGGCCCCGGACGGTCCCGCGGGGCTGTTCTGAGCATCTGCTCCTCAATGCCCTCAGCGCTGCCTGGGTGGGGTCTCTACGGCTGAGCTGGTCTCAGTAAGTAAGTTCCCGTGAAGTTCATCTCTGGAAAAGACATCACAGCCATAAAATGCTGCCAGGCAACTGAGAGAACGTGGGGTCAAACAGGGCTGACACCCAGTCGGCAGCATCTTACACGTGGATCTGGTCAGACTAGGGTTCCACAGCCCACCTCTCGATAGCAGAGCAGGCAGAGCAGGCAGGGAGCCAACACGTTCCCGCATGACACACCCACACGACAGGTTGGGATCAGCTGGTGTCAGTGCTGTTTGGTGGTAGGGAAGGGAATAGACTCCAGAAAAGAAAAAGTCCCTTCTAAGAAATCTAAGAATAACGCTCCGCTGGTGAGCATGCCTCAGTTGCTCAAAGTTGAGACTTGACCCATCCCTCCGTGTTTCCAGAGCTGAGGGTCAACCTGGTTACAGTGTGCGTCCTTGTGCCCGAGTGACATCTTTTTCCTTAGAGCACATGATCGGTGAGATAAAGTATCAAAAGGTAAGGCCACGACAAAACGCCTCTTTTAAAAGCCCTGGGCCAGGCACGGTGGCTCACACCTGTAATCCCAGCATTCTGGGAGGCTGAGGTGGGTGGATCACTTGAGGTCAGGAATCCAAGACCTGCCTGGCCAACGTGGTGAAACTGGTCTCCACTAAAAATACAAAAATTAGCCAGGCAAAGTGGCGTACGGTGGTAGTCCCAGCTACTCAGGAGGCTGAGCCAGGAGAATTGCTTGAACCGGGGAGGCAGAGGTTACAGTGAGCCAAGATCAAGCCAGTGCACTCTAGCCTGGGTGACCGAGCAAGACTTGGTCTCAAAAACAGCCTCTGTATATTTGATTTTTGTGTGACGAGACCAGCCGTATAAACATTAGCAGCAAATTTCCACATGCTTTAAAGGTCCAAAGAATTGGGACAGGATTATGGAGAGGGCCCATCCAGCTCTCCTTGACCTTGGCCACAAAGCCTAAAGCCCCACGGACGCCCCGTGGAAGGAGACACCATGTTTGCCTCAAGGAGAGGACACATCCCAGGTAAAGGTAACAGAAGAGTCTTCAAGAATTCCCCAGGAATGCTTTCACCATGCCCAACACCACGCAGGGCATTCTCGGCATCCCAGCAACCCGGGACACAGAGGTCTGCCTATGTCACAGATCAGTAAGCTGAGATGCAGAAGGGCTGCGGAAAACCTTGTTGGCCAAGGCGATTCAGCTGACTCCACAGCGCTCAGGCAGGTGCAGCCTCTGCTGTTCACGGAAAGCTGTGCTCATCCTTCCCCCACCTGCTGCCCAGCCCCTCGGAGGGTGCACCTGAAACGCTGGGGAATTTCCAGGATGTCACTATCGGGACGCTTTTGTTCTAAACAGGTGGAAGGCTTCATACGTGTGGTAGGCATGTAAAATGAAACACTTCCAAATTAGGGAGGTGCTGGAATGATCTTCCCCTTTAAAGCATAGGAAGCAGAGGCAAGAATTTAGTAACTTGTCTGCAGAACCACGGGGGGTCAGGGGCCTGTGTGGGGCAGGAGCTTGTTCAAGTTCCCGAAGCGAATGGACATAGCCGC